ATTTTAAGAGAGAAAAAAAAAATTCTTGACACATCTCTAATAATTCCTAGTTGATTAAACCATATTTGACAAGTCCAAATGCAAAATCATTGGAGAAGTTCGAGGACAAATAAACATATCTCTGTCAAATTATAGTAATTTTCATTTGATAATCCTGAACTTTTAATTTATTTTGCCAGTCTTCGTAAAAGGGTTAAAATATAAATTACACTTGTTTTTGTTTTTTTACCCGCGTTATAAATTACGATTTCACAACTCTTTTGGAATTTTTTTTTCTTCCAAATGTAAACACATAACACAATCACAGCAAAGTACACGGGTAAGTATAACCAACGATTTTCTTGAGATAAACCTTTACGTATCTACACATTTAAGTTTAATGTGAATAAATGACCCAATACATAAATCTCAACATCGACAAACAGCGAATGTGCAACAGTAGTAAGTAATAACATTAGGGACAATTTAAAACGTCAGTCAACCTTTTTATGTGACACGGATTCCTATCTGTTTTGTTGTTCCCTTAAAACACGAAATGGAACATATATCGTAATATCGATAAATTCTCTAAATACACTATCAAATACACCAGTCCCATTCACCATCAAAATATTCGTATGTTAATTGTTTTCATCCATGAGGCGATATGTTTATAAATCTTTAACGAATCATTATTAGAAATAGCACATTTCATTAACGTATGAAGCGCTATAACACGTAAATTTTTTTTATTTTTACCATTGTTTTTCAACTAGCTTACATATTGAATTCACTCAAAATTTCGGAAATGGTGAGGGAGGAGGGGTTTAGTCAGAAATACAACTCCTTGTTCTTCACTAGTGTTTCGTCAACTAACAACTAAAACCCGTACATAACAGGATGAAAGAACCCGCGCGTGCAGTGAAAACATTCTTGTCGAATCATGTTACTTTAACTAATTTCCAAGTTCAATAATTGTACACTAACATTTTCCTATATGGCGAGATATTAGCTTATAATATCCTGATTCGTTTAGTTTTACATTAAGATTACAACTTATTCTGGAGTTGTAATTTTTCATTCCATTTACCTAAAGATTGCCAGTTACATCAGAATGATGTGTATTGATTTGAAGTGATAGAGTAGAGGATTTGTTTTTTTAATTTCGCGCAAAGCTACACGAGGGCTATCTGCGCTAGCCGTCCCTAAT